GGGAGGGTGGGGGGGACTAAAAGGGAAGGTGCCTACTTTATTCCAGGCACTGTGCCAGGTAGCAAGCATTACTTCAGTTGGAGGAGGTAGTTCCTGAAAGCCACCTGGAGTGGCAGGTGGCTTCATCAATCCCACAGGTATCTATAAGCACACAGTCCGTGCTTGGCACAGTGTGCCCCATACACCCCTCCCTCGTGGGAGCTTAGCAGTGACCCTAGCAGAGCGTGGCTGTTTCAGCAGGGATCCCAGCAGTCGAGGGCGTGGCTGCCATGGCGTAGGACAGGATCCTCACTGGCAGGTGCAAGGAGGTGTGGGGGGGCAGCTTTGCTCTGGCGCCTGTAGTGGTGTGTCTACAGCTCCCGCAGGGAGCCTCAGGGAGGGCAGGCACTCTCCTGTTCCGTGATGACTATGCAGTCCTTTGCAAACCATCCACTGTCATCTTAGCCAAGTGCGAGAGGAGTGGCGGCCCTAGGTTTAGCCTCCCAGGCTGCACGTCTGCTCTGGAAGGGGAGCTGCTACTCGAGTCTAACTGTGGATTTCTGAGCACTCGCTCTTGAGGGTTTGTTGCCTGCAGTAGAAACACCTGCTCAAGTGCACTTGGTCCTGCTTGGCTTCTCCTACCCCAAGTCCTTGCAAATTCGAAGAACAGAGGTCATGGACTACGCCACCAAATCCCAATGCTTTGCCTGGGCTGCTTGTGCTTGGGGAAGAATCCTCAGGCCCCCGGGTCCATCCCTGCCCTCCTCTTGCTGAGCTTCTCCTCGTGTAAATGGAACTAACGGGGTTGGTAGATCGAGGGGACCTGAAAAGCGCTGCACCGACACAAGGGGTCCCCACGCTGCCAGGGAGCCCAGCACCCTGTCCGAAGGCTCGGGTCTGGAAGCCGACTCTCAACCTGCAGACTTTGACCTGAACCAAACGCGCTGAGTTTTACTGGCCCGAAGCGCGCGGCTGTGACAGGAGAGCAACCGCGCTTACCTGGCCGGCGGCCCAGACGCGTGGCCAGCAGGTGCTGCCTGTGATGAGCCTGGAGACGGCCTCCCCACTGTCCCCGTCCCGGGGGGGGCAGCTCGGGCAGTAGACAGGGCTCATAGATGTGGTGTCACCCAAGGGGCCCAGGCACAGCGGAGAGCGTACGATGGGGCCGTGAACCTGGTGTGAATGTGAATGTTCGTCCTTGAGCAGTTTTTAAATTCTGTTGCGTGACGTTCACAGTATCTCCAGCTACCTCTTCGAAGCATCGCTTGCTCCCCCCTTCGGCCTGCGGGTGTGCGTTTGCTCCTGCCACGTATGCCGCAGGGCTGGTCCCACCTGTCGTTTCTCTCCCAGAGCCGAGATGGCCGTCCTCTCCAAGGAGTATGGGTTCGTGGTTCTGACCGGGGCCGCCAGCTTCATCATGGTGGCTCACCTGGCCATCAACGTCTCCAAGGCCCGCAAGAAGTACAAGGTGGAGGTGAGTGGGAACTCACGGGTGCCGCTGTGGGCGCGTCCAGGCGAGGACTTGTTTCCCGTCCTGGAGGGAGAGGCGAGGCTGGCTTAGTAGTCAGTGGTGGCAGCCTCAGGACTGGGCCTGTTAGAAATTCTACCCTTTCCAGGAGGAAGCAGGTGAGAAATACGGGTGCCAATGGGAGTAGTTTCTACCTGGTTTCACCTCTCTTCTGCAGAAACGCCAGGTGGGCTGGCGTGAGAACAGCCTGCCTCCGCCAGAGCTGTTCACCAGGAAGGTGTTACTTGCTTGGGACGCTCAGTGGCAGTGTTGTTTCCTGCCAGGGCATCCACGGGCGATTCTCTCATTCCCACGCAGAGCGTGCGTGGCGCTGCGTGTACCTGGCCTGCGACAGTGGGCGTGGGGAGGGGGTCCATCAGACGCCTCCTTTAGTTCTGGCTGGTCCAGAGGATAGCTGCTGACGTTGGCTCTGACGAGCGAGTCTGGGCGTCTATTTCTGTTCAGCTTTAATTAGGCTCCCTGTCTAGAGCTTCTAAAGTTTCCATACCCAGTTTCTTTTTTTAATGGATGTGTCCATGAAAACCCTCACAGTTTCTGTTCCCCATTAAGGGGACCCTCACAAGGCTATGGTGGTGGGTGACTTTGGGAAGGAGTGTTTCCTGGGGTGTCTCTGGAACACGTCAGAAACTGGCAGTGATGGCTTTGGCACAAGCCGCCTCTGTCCCTTATTACCGGATGTTATCAGCCCCCTATTGATCTGCCTCTGAGAACCAGCCCGTCACTGCAGATATTTAAGCCGACATAGATGCTCAGGAGAGATTAGCATCCAGCTGACGGGAACTGTCCTCTGTGTCCACAGTATCCCACCATGTACAGCATGGACCCTGAGAATGGGCACCTCTTCAACTGCATCCAGCGAGCCCACCAAAACACGTGAGTGTGGGCCCTGTGAGTGGGCACCCCTGCCCAGCACCCCGGCTGGCAGGACCCTGGGTGTAGCAGCAATGGTGGCGATGAGGGGCACTCACTAAAAGTATTATTTAAAAAACCTGTGACTGAACAGGTTGACTGTTAAGCAAAGTTAGAATGGTGGGGTTCTGGATAGTCTTTCAAGTCTTTTCAAGACACTCTCTAGTGCTGTACCCTCTTCCACGGGGTGTGTGGCACATCCCCTCTAAGTGACATTGAGTCTCCCAGCCCCATGGAGTGAGGGGCTTCGAGCGCTGTAAGGAACCCCGCTCTGGGTTACAAGAGCTTCCTTGTCAGCTTGTCAGGCGGGCGGGCTCCTCGCTGTTCCTCAGTCACCTCTGATCCCAGGGGCAGGTCAGGGTTTAGTGAGAGCTCTCTGTTTTACTAAACATACTTTCATGGGGCACTTTATAAAAAAGTGTCTTTCTGTCTCTTGCAGGTTAGAAGTGTACCCGCCTTTCTTATTCTTCCTAGCTGTGGGAGGTGTGTACCACCCGGTAAGTTATTCCCGGGGGTTTCATCTGAATTATGACGTACTGCATCTGGCACCTCATATTTAAAAGAATTTCATTTAGTTACTTCTAACAGACTTCTTTTTTTTTAATTTTTAATATGTTTTTATTTATTTCAGAGAGAGGAAGGGGGAGAGAGAGAGAACTCACATCAATGATGAGAGAATCATCGATCAGCTGCCTCCTGCACACACACACCCTGCTTGGGATCAAGCCTGCAACCCAGGCATGTGCCCTGACCAGGAATCAAAGTGTGACCTCCAGGTTCACGGGTGGACACTTAACCACTGCGCCACACTGGCTGGGCTCTAATAGAGTTCTTTAAAGTAGGCAGATACTTTAGGGGGGGAAAACTTTTCCCCCTGTTTTTTTACAGATAAAGGGAAGCATCATGGATACCATGTAACCTTCTCAAGGTCAAATAGTTATAGGGTAGAAGAGTCGGAATTTGAACCCAGGTCTGACTCCAGAAGGCTCCTGTCCATGTTTTCCTTTGCATATTCATTCATTCATGCAGCAAACACGGGTCACCTAAGGTTACGATGGCAGACACCTGGTCTCGGGGACCCGACTTGTAGGCACCTGAGTGTATGACATGGTCCATTAGCAGGTGGGCAGGCCTCAGAGCCACTGTAGCCCTGTGGGCCGTGGGATTGGTCTGCACTGTAACCTGTCTAAATAAAGCCAGTTCCTGAGCCTGATTACTTGCCTTTTAGGCCCTGCCTTGGACAGGAAGTGTCCCCCTTACCTGAATTCCGACCAGAGTGCAGGCGTTTCCACTTCTGGGACTAAGCCTTCATAGCCCTCTGGTCTGCACCAGCTGCAAGAATGCGTGTCTGTGGTTCATGACCCACCAAAGTTAGGGACTCCTGGCCCCAGGGAGGGAAATTAACTTTTTTTAAAATATGTTTTTATTGCCTTTTTGGCCGGAACCACCATCTGCCAGTAATTAGCCAAAATGACCAACACAAAGGGAAAGAGGAGAGGGACCCACTATATGTTCTCTAGACCTTTTAGAAAACATGGAGTTGTTTCTTTGGCCACATACATGCGCATCTACAAGAAAGGTGACACTGTGGACATCAAGGGAATGGGCACTGTTCAAAAAGGAATGCCCCACAAATGTTCCCATGGCAAACCTGGAGGAGTCTACAGTGTCACCCAGCATGTGGTGGGCATTGTTGTGAACAAACAAGTTAAGGGCAAGATTCTTGCCAAGAGAATTAATGTGCGTATTGAGCATATTAAGCGCTCTAAGAGCCGAGACAGCTTCCCGAAGCGTGGGAAGGAAAATGATCGGAAAAAGAAGGGAGCCGAAAAGAAAGGGACCTGGGTTCAAATGAAGCGTCAGCCCGCTCCACCCAGGGAAGCGCACTTTGTGAGGACCCATGGAAAGGAGCCTGAGCTGCTGGAACCTATTCCCTGTGAATTCATGGCATGATAGGTGTTNAAAAAAAAAAAAAAAAAAGACCTCTATACTGATAAAAATGTTTCTCTTAATTGGGTAGAAGTGTGGTATCCCTTCCCCCAAAAAAATAATTAAAGAAAACTTTGTGCCCTGGAAAAAAAAAATGTTTTTATTGATTTTTTTAGAAAAAGAAGAAGGGAAAGGGATAGATGATGATAGATAGATGATAGATAGATAGATAGATAGATAGATAGATAGATAGATAGATAGATAGATAGATAGATAGATAGATGATAGATAGAAACATCATCCATCGGCTGCCGCCTGCACGTCCCTCCTGGGGATCGAGCCCACAGCCTGGGCATCGAGCCCACAGCCTGGGCATCGAGCCCACAGCCTGGGCATGTGCCCTGACTGGAATCGGACCAGTGACCTCTTGGTTCCTGGGTTGATGCTCAACCACTGAGCCGCACCGGCCTGGTATAACTTTTCCCTAAAACGTTGTGCAGTCAACCCTAGATGTTAATACAGATCTGCCTGCTCCTTGAATGCAGACACTAACGTAGCCCCTTTTGTTTTTTAGAGAGTAGTTTCGGGCTTGGGCTTGGCCTGGATTGTTGGACGAGTTCTCTATGCCTATGGCTACTACACAGGAGGTAAGAGCACGCCGACACCTGCGGGAAACCAAAGGACAGGACACTGCCACGCTTCCTTCTCAGCAGAGCTTTAAGGAAAGGGGGTGTAACTTGATGTTTAGCTAGGTGAAAGGTCTGTTACCTCCTTTCACTAACCATTGAATAGTAACAAAACTTACCTTTATAGAGCATTTCCTGTGTGTCGACTGCTGTTCTAAGAATTTTCCATACTGCTGTTTCAAACCTTCCAACAATTCTATGTTGTAGATAATAGTATCCCATTTTATAGATGGGGAAACTATGGCTTAGAAAGGTGAAGGCTCTCTCTAGGTCACAGAGCTACTATGTGGAAACTGTAAGCCAGGATTCAGAGCCAGGCAGTGTGACTCTGGAGCCCTGCTCCTTGCCACGACTGTCAACAGTAGGCCGACAGAGAGGGGGAAAGACACTTTTTGCTATACTTACATCTTTAAAGAAGAGGGAGACGCTGCTGAGGTCCCAGGGCACAGCAGCTCCAATTACCTGGAAGTTTTGGAGGTCCAAACAGTCCTACCGTGAACAACACTGCGTAGAGTGGGCTGACCCCTTCAGACCAGATGGTCTGACGCACACCCGACACCGGACAGAAGGGCTCGTGACGTTGACAGTGGCGGGGTTCTGGAGCCCCCCCCACCTCCACCCCCGTAACTTCTGTTCTCCCTTCTTTTCCAGAACCCAGCAAGCGGAGCAGAGGAGCCCTGGGCTCCATCGCCCTCCTTGGCTTGATGGGCACAACTGTGTGCTCTGCCTTCCAGCATCTGGGCTGGGTTAAGACTGGCTTGGGCAGTGGGTCCAAATGCTGCCATTAAGGAATGCTGGCGTGTCTAGAAGCCCTCATTCATTTTGAATGACTTACTTTTATTTCCACTTACTTTTTTTTTCTTCTAAATATAATAAAATTTATCTGGCATCAGCCTCGTACATAACCCTGACTCTATGACTTATTTCCTGTTGAATCTCTATCTAAAATAAGTGGCCTGCTCCTGCCCTGGCTGGTGTGGCTCGGTTGGTTGGGCTTTGTCCCGTGAACCAAGAGGTCACTGGCTTGATTCCCCGTCAGGGCACATCAAGGGGATCGCAGGCTCATCAAGGCAAGAGCCTGGGGGTCGCAGGCTCGATCCCCAGTCGGGGGCGTGCAGGAGGCAGCCGATCAATGACTCCCATCGTTGCTGTTTCTCTCTCTCTCTCCCTCTCCCTCCCTTTCTCTCTAAAGTCAATAAAAGCATGTTTAAAAATAAATAATATAAAATAAGCAGCCTGCTCCTACTTGAGGGGCCACAGGTATGGAGCGCCCCCCGCCCCCTGGTGCGGACAGTGGGGAAGCTGGGAGACGTCTAATTGTGGTGTTAGGTTTCTTTTCGCAGCTGTGAAAGACGGGGGCTCGGAGGAGGAGCCTTAATTCTATTAGGATCTGAGATTACTACTACCTAGGATTACAGTGACAATTTTTTAAACTCTACTGAAGATTGCTGCTGTTGCTTAAAAACTGAAGTAATGGAGGAAACGTAAGAAGGGGAAACCGCGGAGGTAAACGTGAGCGCCCACATTTGGAGGCAGAGGCGGGGTCGCACCGGTGTGAACAGGGAAGGAGGCGGCGAATAAACGGCGAAGGCAGTTTGGGTGGACGTCGAGACTAGCAAAGGAGGCTGCTGCTGCGAAAACAGTGGCCGCAAAGGACATCAACAAAAGCGTCTAGATCTGTGTTGTCCATCGTGGTAGCCACCAGCCATGTGGGGTATTTAAATTGATACAATTTTGTAAAACAAATTTCAGGTGCTCAGTAGCTGTGAGGATCGGAGATGGGATTGGCCCCCAGGCCTGATTCTCCAGTCCATGCATTTCCCTTCGTGCCCTGTCACTTAGGACAGGAGATAAGGCACTGAGGGGCAGAAAGCTCGGTCGGCCGCCACGGATAGTCAGCCTTGGCCGCAGGACCACCTGGAGCCCCGGGGCATTTGGTGAGGTTGGACCAAATCCCAGCACTCTCCAGGGTTCGTCTGAGTGCTCACCAGTGTGCAGTGGACAGAAGTGAGGAGGTTTCCATGAGCTGTGACATGTATCCTTTTACATTGCAAGGACCCTTATGACGTGATGGTGATGGTGATGGTGATGGTAAAGGTTGGGGGTTTGGGTCCTAATAAAAAGCAACGTAATTGAGAATGTGTAATAAGCCAGGGTGTGTTTGTTCTGTTTGGGTTTTGTTAGATAGGGATTGCACCTGGGGAGAAAGGAACACCTGTGCAGGCTCCTTCCCGTCACAGGCTGTAGGTGGCAGTAGGGCAGGTAGGGGACCTGGTGGGTTTTCACCTTTGCAGTCTGAACAGGGCATGCTTTCCAAGTAATCCATCATCTATGTCATTTTGTCACAGCATGGTCTCAAGTCACGTTTTGTAAGGAACCCCAGTCCTCAGAGGGTGCGGTGACTGAAGTGGGGACCGCGGAGCTCTGCCCATTCAGCTCCCTGGTTCCCTCACAACTGCGCATCCTGGGACCCTCGGGCCAGACACAGTCCAGCCCGGGTTGTTGCTCTGGCCAGCTAGTGTCCACCTGGCCAGCTAGTTTCTGTTCAATTCCCTTGTCTGGTGGGGAGAAGACTGGCCTGAGTCCCTCTGAGCTCTGCTGCTCTGGCCGGTGAGAGACTGTTTCTATGGGAAGACGCATGCTGAGCTGTTAGGTGGACGTTGGAGAGCTCCAGCCTTCAGTGGCTCCCCACTGCACCGCGGGCACCCCACGGAGGCCGTGTGCTCTGGGCCTCGCTTGCCCAGCGGTGAGTGGAGGGACAACACCTCTGAAGTTCTAGAGGCTCCAATGAGTCACGCAGGGACCTGCACAAGGTGTGGGAGGGACGGGAGCCACCTGCTAGAGAAATGGCATTGAGGTCAGCAGCCAGGTGGTCCTCCTGGATTTCCAGGACCCCGGGTCAGCCCCCATCCCTCCGAAGCTCTCCTGACCCAGTGGAACACTACGTGGCCTCCATCCCTTCCCCCTGGTCCAGCACCGCCTTCTAGAATGTCTGACACGCTGGAGCCCCGCAGGCTAGAACTGTGTGAGTCCGCTTACGTGCAGATTTACTTTCAAAAAATGCAGTTGGCCCTGTGAATCCACAGGTTCCACATCTGCAGATTCAACCAACCGAGGATGGAAAACAGTATCTTCGTATCCCAGCCGAGGATCAGAAGTGCTGTTTCCAATCCTCAGTTGGCTGAATCCAAGGCTTCCAGGGGCAAAGGGTGGAGTCAAGTTACAGTGATTTTCTACTGCGCCTGGGTGCCCCCCACCGTTCAGGGGCCACCAGTGTTCTCCACCCGCGTTGTCCATACAGTAACCACCACTGCGAGGGCCTGAGATGCAGCTAGAACCACCGACGAGCTGAACTGTATTTGACTGTAATGGACTAACACTTAGGCGGCTGCCTGTGGCTGGCGGCTGCCGGCAGGGACGGCACAGCTCCAAGCACTGTTCTGAGCCTGGGCTGCCACCAGACTCACCTGCGCAAGGCCTTTGAAGATTCCAGTTGCCCAGGCCCCACCCCAGATCAAGTAAATGAGAATCTCTGGGGTTTTCTATTTTTTTAATCCTTGCCCAAGGATATTTTCCCACTGCTTTCCAGAGAGAGGGGAAGGGAGGGAGAGGGAGAGAGAGAGAAACCAACGTGAGAGAGACGCATCGATTGGCGGCCTCCAGCACAAGCCCCAACTGCAGTGGGGATGGAGCCGGCAACTGAGGTACGTGCCCTTGACTGGAAATTGAATCCGGAGCCCTTCGGTCCTCGGGCGACGGTCTGACCACTGAGCCACACCGGCCAGGGCAGAATCTCTGTTTTGAAAGCTCTGGGTAATCCTAATGTGCGACGGAAGTTGAAAACCATTGTTCCACAAGCCTGGCAAACTACTGTGCATAGGAATCACCTGTTCAAATGTAGATCCTGAGTCACAAGTCCCCCAAGGGAACACACTGCAGGCCCAAGCAGATGCTGCTGGTAACTGGAGCCACCTAGTGGCAAGGCTCTGCCCCAGCCTTTAATCCACTCGCTGTGCAAACCCTCGGTCCCCTCTGAGCCCAGTGACAGGGCAGTTCTGGCTCTCTGCGAGCCTTGGGAGTTTAGATCGCATTCTAACCATAGTGAGGAGCCACCGCGGGAACTATAGCAAGCGCGTGATGAACTCTGATTTCCTTGAGAAGACCGCTCGTGCTGATTTCTGATGGTTTTCACAGCACCGGGTAACTACAGAGGCCTGGTCTCCTTGGGGCTTGGATGTAAGAAAAGCCAAGGAGCCGTTTTATCCCAGAGGGAAGTGCAACCCAGCAGCAGGCAGTTCAGAGTAGCGGGTGGATCCACTTTTGGAAGAAGCAGGCAGGACTCGGGGATGCTCCCCCTGGCTCCCCCTTCTCTGTGGCAGATGGATGGGGACCCTCATTCTGCCAGGCCCTTGCCTGGGGCAGCAAGAGGACCTAAAGTGCATGAAATAAAAGGCAGCAGGAGGAAGGGGCCCAGCGGCCACCTTCTGTATGTAAAAGGCCTGCCCGGGTGAGAGCCTGCCATTCTCTGGATGTGGGGTCCCTGGAAAGCCACAGGATATCAGGATTCTCAGCTATTGCAAAAGAGGGTGCCAGCGTGAGGCAGTTTGTTTTTTCTTTCTTGCATTAATACAATCCCCGCCAAAAAAACTTCTATCAACACCTTTAGCCCAGGAATCTATCAACCAAAGACACCTTAAAATGCATATCAAAGGATCTGAGTTGAATCCATTTCTACGGGGCCTCACCCCAGCGCTGGGCTAGTTAGCAGTTATGCCCCTAGGAACAGCAGTCACCTGGGAGACAAGAGTAGCCGCAGAAGCAGAGGAGAGGAACTTCTGCTTCTAACTCAAAAGGAAATCAAAGTAGTACAGAAAAAAGAAAACTAGGGGGAAATTGAGCTACATGATACAAATTCTCCACGAGAGGGAGGCTGGTTTTAGGATAAGCCAGTGTTTCCTTAAGTGTGTCCCGCAGGCATTAATCATTCCTCACCAAAAATGCTTTACAAACCAGGTTCTTTGCCCAGGTAAACCTGTGAAACGGGATAGCCGACCACCCCTTGGAGCACACCGTGGGCATGCTGGTGCGGTTGGCCGAATAACGCTCCCCCAGTACGTCCGGGTCCTCACCCCCAGAACCTGGGAATGTCACCTGAAGTGGCAGAGAGACTTCACAGAGAAGTTAAGGACTGAGATGAGAGGTCATAGGGACTGTCTGGATGGGCCCTAAAAGCAATCACTGAAGGTGCTAAGCACGGGCTTTAGAGAGAGAGGAAGGAGCCCCGAGCCAGCACTGCAAGGAATGGGCTCTTAGAAGCTGGAAAGGGCGTGGGAACCAGTTACCTCCTAGAGCATCGGGGGGAGCAAGGCCCGGCCAACACCTTGGTTTCCACCTATTGAAACTTTGACTTCGGCTCCAGAACTGGAATAAACATGAGTGGTAATTTGTTACGGTCGTAGGAAACTAATACACTGAGTTAGGTGTAGGGATCAGGGGAGAGGGAAGTGCAAGTCAGGCCCCGGGCACCTGGCCTGGAGTCCTGCTCAGCTCGCCGCCTCGCCTTCATCTGAAAACGGAAACATGTCCTTACCCGCAGCGAGTACTGAACGGGAGGGGAGCGGTGGGGACACAGGGAGTGTTCAGAACTCGTCGGCCCCTCTCCCTGCTGTTTTCTTGAGATTCAGAGGAACCGCCAGACACTTGTCATCTCCCCAGGAAGCTCCGACTGTGTAAGTCACACAGGGTCCCCCAGACACGGTGAGACCACTCTACTGGCCTTGCTCTGCCTCCCATGTGCCCGCTGTGCAAACAATGAGGGGTTGGTCCAGCCATCCTGGCCTCTAAAAGCAAACATCTGCCATCACAGCATGTAAGTCAGCCCAGAACAAGACCCGTCCCTCACCCCCGACTATGAAGTTAGCTGTCGTGAGGGTTAGTTGTTTTTTGTGAGTTTTATTATTTATTTATTTATTTTAATATATCTTTATTGATTTCAGAGAGAGGAAGGAAGAGGGAGAGAGAGAGAGAGAAACATCAATGAGAGAGTCATTGACCGGCTGCCTCCTGCACGCGCCCTGCTGGGGATCGAGCCTGCAACCTGGGCTCGACCAGGAATCGAACCACGATCTCCTGGTTGATGCTCAACCACTGAGTTACGCCCAGCTGGGCCCGGGTTAGTTGTGTGTGTCAACTTGATGGCTCAGTGATGCCCAGATGGCTGGTTAAACATTATTTCCATGTGTGTCTGAAGGTTTTTCCAGAAGAGATGAGTGTGAACTGGTGGACTGAGTGAGCAGAGACCCTCCCCAGTGTGTGTGCTCAGCGTCCAAAGGTCAGGGCCCCAACAAAACAGGAAGGCAGAGGGAGGGCAAGTTCGCTCTCCACCTGCACTGGGCCACCCACCTCCACCCTGGGACATCAGCTCCAGTTCTTGGGCTCGGGCCTGACTCACCCCATCTGCTCCCCAGCTCTCAAGCCCTGGACTTGCCCTGATCTACCCCAGCTCCCCCAGTCCAAGTTGCAGGTGCAGGTGCTGGGCCTTCTCAGCCTCCGTAGTCACGTGAGCCTGTCCTAGAGTAACCCTCCTCTTACACAGTCGCAGACACACTATTCTAAGGGTTCTGTGTCTCTGGGAAACCCCGACTAATACAGCTGTTAGACAGTAACCCTTCTCCAAAGGAGGCGGCTCCCCAGTCTGAGAGGTCACCAAGGTCTGACAGCACCGCCTATCAGGGCGGGAGGCACCCAGCACCTCTAAGCTCACAGGGGCCTAGGGGCTCGTTACAGGGACCAAGGCCTGCCGTGTGTACTTGCTTCAGAGAAGGCAAGCTCTCTGCCTTATGTGCTTCACATCAACCCCATCCTGTGTCCTAAATAATCTTGAGAGGTGTTTCATATCAAAACATGAAACTGAAAGGATTAACAGTGTGATTTAATTCCAGTATACCGCACAGGCACATAGATAACTTGGACATTTAACAGGGAGCTGTTGTGTCCCAGACAGCAAGCTGGAGTTCAAAGACGGAGGACCACATCCTCTCCTGCAGCCCCAGGTAGAAACAGTGCTTTCCCTGGTGAGTTAGATTCACACAGACTGACCTGCCCAGTATCCAATCCCCTCCTGTCCCAACTGTCAGCTCTGAGTGGAATGACAGGAGGTGGAGCTTAAGACATGCCAGTGAGCCCACAGCATCTGTCTGGAGTCCACCAGGAACCTAAGGGGAGCAGGTTCTTCAAAGTAAGCAAGGAAAGGAGGGAGCTCACGCACACGGGCAGGGGTGGAATCCAGGGGCGAGGCACAATCCTGGTCCTGTCTCCAAAAGTGTGTTACTGGCTATTCAGGATCACGCAGAAATTTGTGCTGCAGAAATTCGCAGCTTTCTCGATTAGAACCTAAAGGCACTTGTGCAACCTTCAGCCAGGAAGATGACTGAGCAACAGCGACACTAAGGCAAGTGCAGACCCTGCGCAGCCGGGTCCAGGAGGCATCATGCTGACACTGCTTCCGCTGGTCTTGCAAGTGCTCAGCCACGGGGCTCATGGCCGCTTTCAAAACGCAGATTCCACATCACCCATCTCCACACATACAGTCTTCAGTTGTGAATAATACTCGATTGTCACACGGCCGTTCTCTCTGCCAAACCCTGGAAGGAAGACAAGGGGTGACAACAAGCCATCACTGCATGTCTGAAAGGTTGCAGTGACCTTCAGAGACAGGCACTGCCTCTCAGGGAAGAACACAGGGCTGGAGAAGATCAGGTCCTCAACTGTACACATCAGTTGTGGAGCAAAGCATGGGAAAGTGACCCCTGACCAGCGAGGCCAAGGTGCTGCCCGACGGCCGTGGATGTGGCCGTGGATAAGGTTCTGTGCTGAAGGAGCAGCACCCCCTGCTTGGCCTTTCTTGTCACCCTGCCCCAGACTTAGGTAGGTTCTGCCTGCTAAGGTCAACACATGCACGTCTCCAGGGCGCACCCCGCCAGGCCCTCTGAAAATCCTCTGAGCAGAGCTGGCTGGGCGTGCATGAGGCCAGGGTGCTCTGCAGAGCTGGCTGTCCTGTCCCTCCCTCATCCTGGTGGGCATGCCCGTGGGCACTGCTCCAAAGATACAGACCTGAGGAGGCAACAGTGGCCTAGGAAACCCCATGAGGCCGAGCTGCAGATGCCACACAAACCTCTCCCTGCACTGATGGTTATGTCTCATAGAACAGCGCCCGGCTCCCACTCTGCACCTGGGCCAGTGCACAGCTCCTCTGGGTGCCCCAGGGGACGGTGGTTAGGGAATGCCAGGAAAAGACCCAATCAAACTGTCAAGTCAACACCCACCCCCTCATCAGCACTCATACGGGCTTCTACGCCGGCCAACCCTGTGAGGGCCATAAGCATTTGCCAAGAGACTAAGGGACTGGGCTGCAAAGTCCAAACCAACTTGCATAAGAAGAGTGTGGGGACTCAGTGAACACTTACAGGCAACCAAGTCCAAAGAGAGAACCCCGACGTAATGGCTCTACTCCTGACGCTGCACACTCCCCCCAACACCACACTTACAGACATGACAGTAACATGTCCAACTGATCACTGAAGAAATGTACGAGCAGGCGGTGGCTAGGAAAAGCGTTCCATGTGCCACCGGTGTCGTGGCGATCACTGATTAACTGCTGGATTAAGGGATTTTTATTAATTTGTCATAACGGAGAAGACATATTAGTATCTGCTTCCTGAGACCTTAGGACACTACACCAGCCGAATCTAAAGGCTCCACAGGGGACAGTGACGTACGCTGCCAGGATGGGACCTTGGCGGTGGTTTTACTCTTACAGTGACACAGCCTGTAAAGAAAAGTAATTCTACCCACAAGACGGACCCTTCTGAGATGCAGGTTAGCGGGCACATGCGCTCGGAGAGACCGAGCAGCGGGCCCCGGGAGGACGCTATCGACACGGAGGCATGTTTGGGACTCTGGTCGATAGGACTGAAAGACGACAGCGTCCCTCGAGCCTGTGGCTCGCCCATTCCCAGCTCCTCACCTGACTTCTTATAGCCACCGAAGGGCAACTCCACCGGGCTGACGTTGTAGTTGTTGACGTAGCACACTCCGGCCTGCAGCTCCGCCACCACGCGGTGAGCGCGCTGGATGTCCCTGGAGGAAAACCCACGCACGTAGGTCACTCGGCTCCTGCTGCCTTAGCAGGCCAGCGGCGAGTTCCTACGCAGCCTCACAGACACGCCTACACAGGTGCTCGCTGTTACGCACAACAGCCGCGGAGGACAGCGGCCCCGGCGTCACCAGCAGGATGCAACCGTATAAACAGGCGACGGGCCGTTCCTCGGTAAGCGGGAGCAATGGCGTGCTCGGTGCCGACACCGTCACAACACGAATAAACCTTGAGAGCATGATGCTCAGAGCAGCAGCCAAAAGGTCGCCCCGTATATGATCCCATTTATATGAAATATTCAGAAGGAGCAAGTCCACGGACAGGAAGTAGGCCGGTGGCCGCGGGGAGGGGAGAGTAAGCAGCGGCTCAACGTTCCTGAACTGGTGGAAACGTTCTGAAATCAGGTCATGGTGACAGGTGCACAGCTCTGTAAATACTAAAAGCCACTCAACTGTGCCCTTCACCTGGGCAAATTGCTCAGTGTGTGAATTATCCCAATAAAGCTATTAAAAAAGCAGCAGCATACGAGCCGCCCTCCGCTGTGAGCGGCCTTCGCCTGCATCGTGGCAGCAAACACAGGGCGAGACTTAACCCACTGGTCCCCACACCACAGAGCAGCTTCCCACAGACGCTGTCGGGCAGGGACACTGCTTTGTGTGAGACCCCAGTGGTGGGTCCCAGTCTCCACACATCTGTCCAAAGCCCCAAACTGCATGACACCAAGAGTGAACCCCAGTGAACCGTGGACTTGGGGTAAGAGCACAGGGTCGTACAGATTCATCAGGTGTAACACAAGGGCCGTCTAGTGGGGATGTTGGTAACGAGGCGGCTGTGCGCGGAAGGGGGGCACAGGCGGGAAATCTCTGTGCCTTCAATTTTGCAGTAAAACTAAAATTACTCTAAAATATAAAGTTTTGTGGGTGTGTTTTTTAAAGCAGCTCCTGAATCTTTTCCTCGGAGCTCAAAGAGAAGCTATTACTTCAGGTCCTCAAGGGAGACCTAGGTCTTCCTTCCCAGGTTCTGGACCACAAAGCCACACACAAATGTAACCTTGTTTATCACCAAAGAGACAGCAAAATCGCAAGTGTGAAGCAGACTTAGAAACCTGCCTCCGACTAACTGCCAGAGGCTAGGCAGAGTGCGCACAGTGGAGCAACCTGCCACCACTCAAAAGACCCAGTGCTCCCGCTCCCTTCCTACTGTCACATAGAAAGACACTGATCACATTACTCACAGTAGTTAACGTCGGGAATGCCCTAAATGTGGAATGGGAAAAAAGCTCCGTGTGCACAGTGCGTTCCAGTCACCCCAACCTAGCTGCCAGCTGCCAGGACCGCGTTCTGGGAGAACGTGGCGCAGCGTTTACGAGCCGACGGCCTTCCAAATTCCTGGACGTGGACCCTCGTGCTTTACCTAGGTCAGCGCCGTAAATATTCATTCCATAAACCAATGACAAAGGGCAGAATTGTCATCGACCAAGTTTACAGCTAAATTTAAACTCAGAAGCAGGGCTCTGGCCATGGAGGGCAAACTACAAAATGCTACCTGGGCATCTTCTGACTTCACTGGAAATGCCGACAGATACGCAGCGAGGGCAGACCCTGCGAGGGCACCGGGCCCCCCCGAGCAGGCAGGAGCCCCCTCCTCAGAGCCCGCTGGGGCCTTCCCCACATACCTGGTGAAGACACCGGCAGCTAGTCCAAAAGAGGTGTCGTTCGCTCTTTCTAGAACCTCCGCTTCGGTGTCAAATGACAGGATGGACATAACTGGCCCAAAGATCTCTTCTTTCACGCAGGTCATGTCATCTCTGCAGTTAGCTGCACGCAGTGGAATAAACCAGACACCGCGCAGGACTGTTATTCCCGGCACCTGAAATGTCCCCTTGTTCACAGCACACAGTCCACACACAGCTTTCCAGAAACTTCCAGAGGACGCTCCCAGAGTGTACGGGACACCCCTTCTGCACGGCAACCTGACACTATATATTAGAGGCACAGCCTTTGTGTGATCCTATAGCCACATTTTAACTGATCGCAAGGAGACCGCTAATGAGGTGAGCGGCATGCGCACGCAAGGACAATCACATCCCTCACAACCGTGACAGCTGGAAGCAACAAACTGAACGTCTAAGCAAGAGACAGCCGCTTGGGCCATGCACATCCCAGAGACCGACTTCTATGAAGCTCCTCAGAGTAACGTTTTTGAAGAAAATTTAATAAAGTAAATGCTCATGATAGTCACGGAAGAAGATACAAACTGTTTAAGGTGCTGTCCCAATTTCTGTTAAAATGTTACATATATGGCCCTGGCCGGGTGGCTCGGTGGGTTGGAGCATCTCCCGTGCACCAAAAGGCCGCAGGTTCCATTCCTGGTCAGGGCGTACACCTAGGCTGAGGGTTCAATCTCCGGCCGCGAGGCATGTGGGAGGCAACCGATCGATGTTTCTCTCACATCGATGCCCCCCTTTCTCCCTTCCCCTCTCTCTAGAATCAATAAAAAAGCACCTCCGGTAAGGATTAAAAAAAAAAGTTACATATATGATTAATGCCTTTTACTCCTTTTCACATTTTCTTAATGACTCTGTGATAGAATCAGAAACAAAAAAGAAAGTTCCAATATAAAAAAACCTTAGAAATAACTGAGGGGGTATTTACTTGGTATGAAAATGTACTTAAGTTCCTTTAAGCGGACAATACTTTAAAATGATACAATTCACACTTGACATTTTAAAACAAGCACATGTCAAGCTCATATATGTCCATGTCGAATGCTGAGCCCGGGGGTTCTGGAGCGCGGGGCCCCGTCTGCCCTGTCCCTGCGGCGAGCGACCCTCAGGGCGGTCCCAGGCGAAGCGAGACGGGGCTTACAGGCCGCGCTATGATGTGAGCGGCGTGCAGGCCAGAGAACAGCTTCAGAACCTGCTGCCAGCACCGGCTTCGTGGGAGAAAGTCTGTAACCACTGTTCACATATCCACAAAGATGACAAGTCTTCCTCTCTTACGACGGGGATGACAGCTTACGTGTGCTTAGGAATTACAGTTCTTAGGCGGTGCTTAAGCGAGATTTACTAGTTCTAACTCTTTGGAAACTAGGCATCCACATGTAATTTTTAGGGAAACCATTAGCCAGAATGTTACTACTCAAGACAATTCACTGCTCAACAAGCCCAGAACACGATGATGGTCTCGCGCAGGGTGGAAACAGAGCAGCTGGGGGCACGCTCCGGGCAGCAGCTGGAGGAGAGGAGGGCGAGTGCAGCTGATGTACAAGAAAAGGCTCCTGCCCCAAACGTCACTCACTCAACTTCAGTTCCCAGTATCAAGTAAATGAAAAATTAAAATCTGCAACACTCAGAAATGCACAGTGTAATAAAAACTGCCGTCAATCCCAGCATTCAGAGAAACCACTATAAACACTACGAGGCACACTGTTCCTTTTCCAGGCATATGTTTGGTCTTCAATAGATTTGGGATCAACTATATTTTTTATTTAAAAATACACTGCCGCCCTGGCCCGGGTGGCTCAGGGGGTTGGGTGTCGTCCTGTGCACGGAAAGGTCACCGGTTCAATTCCCGGTGAGGGCACACACCCAGATTGCAGGTTCGATCCTGGCTGGGGCACGTGCGGAAGGCAACCAATCAATATTTCTCTCCTGATTGATGTTTCTCTCTCTTTCCCTCCCCCTTCCTCTCACTCCAAATATAAAATAAAAATATATTTAAAAATAAAAATAATACACTGCCAGCTGTTCCTATTCACTGAGTGACCACAGGCTGTCCATGGCAGGGACATCAGGTTCGCAGCTCTGAGGCCTCCTGGGGGAGGGTCAAAGGCTCAAGTGCATCGAATATCGACGGTAAAAACTGAGACCATCTCACCCTTGGAGACAAAAATCAACCAGATCTACCTTTGAGTTATGTTATGTGCAAGGAATCACTTCACACATTCCAGCCTGCATACGGTTCTTCACAGCCTACAAAACTCGCAGCACTCAGGAGGCACTAACACACGTCATGAATGGGAGGGGCCTCGGGGCGGCGTCACCCTGAGCGAGGACGGACGTAACTGGTTGAGGGCAGTTGGGTAACATTACACCTGACCGTCCAGGCCAGGTTTTTAGATTGAAAAGAGGTGCTAAAAATTCTGAAATGACATAATTTTTAGAAATACTACTGTATTGTCTGACAAATTGGTTTCATCACGCTGATGTTCTATGGTTCAAAGGAAGATGCATTCTCCACTGCCTTTCCTGAGAAACGCGACTCATCACTCTTTTCCCAAACCTGCACTTTCATTTCTCCGAGCTCCTTGCTTCCAGAACGACAGGCGTAGACCCAGTAAGTGCCTGGTGCACTGACACACCTGGTCGTCCCAGGGGCTTCGAAGGTAACGGAGAACTTCTACTTCTTCAGTCTGGGCAGTGGGGACACACCATTTGCCAAGCCTTGCTTGACACCATACAGATGCTCTATAAAAATTCTTTCCCATCTGATATTTCATTCAAACTATTTAAAAGCAAATAAGAGAACATACTCAATACACAAGGTCTCATGAAATATCCATCCTTTAACTTGGGATCTTCGGGTACATATAGGTCTCCCCCACACAGCACCTTAGCCCCCTGCCAAAGAAGACAGAATGCATACTTTATGTTAGACAAGCAGCCCCCACGTGCTTTCCTAGACAAACGCAGGCTTAGTCACTCCACCGCAAGGACAAAGCAGGACACTGCCCCAGACCCCAGGAGACAAGGGCACCAGGTGGTGGGAGTAACTGCCCTCCCCTCACCCCACCCTGCCCCAGCTCCCCAAGTTCTTCACCTGCTCCTTTGCCTGTTTAACAAACCCAAGGACTCGCTCCAGGTGTGGTCGATTGATGAGGGGGCCCATCCTGGTATCTTCCAGAAGGGGGTCTCCGATTTTTATCCTTTGGGTCTGTTTCACCACCTGCTCTGTGAATTTATCAAGAATTTCCTTTTGCACAAACACTCTTGTGCCATTACAGCAAACCTGGAAAAGAGACACGAGTTTATCAGTATGCAGAGAAGAAAAAAAAGGGGGGGAAATCCCATAGGCTTAAGCTTAAAAAATACACTACACCTTTGTAAAGGTTCGTTCCACATATAAAAATTCCCTCCGTCCTGAAGAGCATCACACATGTAACATAGCACAAACTGTCTGCTCTTTTTTGTTTTTAAAGATATTTTTTAATAGACACTGCCATGATGCCCATGCCAATTTATATTCCTCTCAGCAGTAATTTTTTTTTTTAAATATATCTTTATTGATTTCAGAGAGAGGAAAGGAGAGGGAGAGAGACAGAAACATCAATGATGAGAGAGTCACTGATCGAGCCCACAACCCAGGCATGTGCCCTGACCGGGAATCGAACCCCGATCGCCTGGATCCTAGGTCGACGCTCAACCGCTGAGCCACGCCCGGCCGAGCTAAATTTTTTTTTTTTTATCCTTACTGAGGATATTTTTTCCATTGCTTTTCAGAGAGTGGAGGGGGGGAGGGATCCATGTGAGAGAGACACATTGATTGGTCACCTCCTGCACGTGCCCCAACCCGGGCCAAACCTACAACTGAGGTACATGCCCTTGGCTGAAATCAAACCCAGGAACCTTCAGTCTGCAGGCCGAGGCTCTAGGGTGAAATCGTCTGCCCTTTGAGAAAAAACTTTATCTTCTGCCCGGCCAGTGTGGCTCAGTAGTTGAGCATCAACCCATGAACCAAGAGATCACCAGTTTGATTCCAGGTCAGGGCACATGCCTGGGTTGCGGGCTCGATCCCTAATCAGGGGCATGCAGGAGGCAGCCGATCAATGACAACTCTCTCATCATTGATGTTTCTCTCTCTCCCTCGCCCTTCCTCTCTCTGAAATCAAGAAAGATATATATATATATATTTTAAACTTACATCTTCTTGTGGTTGTTTAAATTTTCCTAAGGCCGGTAATAGATCCATATGACCTTCAGGCCCTGTCCTATTTGCTCACATCAGCTGCTCAATTTGGCTGCATATTTAAGAGGAAGAGGTAAGAATGGGAGGGGTCTGAGTAAAGAGTTAAGAACTCAGGGTATGAGCCTAATAAAAACCCAGAGCATTTCATAGTCAATGTTTGTCTCCAAAATCACAAATAGTGAGTATTTAGACTCTCCCATCGACGTGACGTAAATACCGTTCAGACGCTACGAGCTGCACGAGGCATACCTGGGCAGCTACAAAAATATGGAGACGTTCTATGGAATGAAACAGTGGTTCCATGATGTGTTAGACGAGACAGCAAAGTGCAAGAAAGTACCTCTGTGCACAAGGAAGAAGGGGAATAAGACCATACAGGCATCTGCTCACTTGTGTGAAAAGAAAGACAGGAAGGGAAGGTCAGAGAGAGGTGGGCCGGCGACCTCCAGGAGCCCTGGGAACCGGTCGGGGCAGCAGGACTGACATGTCTGTGTGGCTTGGTGTAAAATTCTGCCATTTAGAGCCATGTTAGTCTGTCCCCTAATCACAATAAACAAACCTTTAAAATCAGCAAGGATGCGGGAAAATAAACCTCAAATGAAACAAAACAGAAATCCGTCGACTTGTTTCTTAAAATGAGTATCATGACCACACCGCGGGTGGGGGAAGGAAGGACCGACCCGGTTAACTTCTGAACAGAGTTTTAACTACACCCTCGGCTAAAGACAAAAGGAACTGTAAAAAACTATGAGCTCTAGTTAGAAGGCTTATTTTGCACAAATCTGAAACTGCTACAAATGTATCCTAGACCGACAACTCATTAAGCATGCTGCCAGTAACTGACACCAGGCTTCCCCGTCAAAGAAAGTCACACGCATGGAAGGGAGGGGAGAAAACCAACCCTGCAGGACTGAAGCGACTGGGCCACCTGTATGAACTTGCGGTTATTAATACAAATAGATATAGAAATAGACACGTGTGCATGTGTGTGCATGTGTGTATGTGCATGCGGGTGTGCTCATGCGTGTGTGAATGTGTGGATGTGCCTGTGCAGGTGTACATGTGTGTGCATGTGCACACACATGTACACACAAGATGCCAACATCTATTCCCAGCTCTGGCTCTGAGAGGGTCTGGAGGCAGTGGCACCCAGATCTTGGTTTCTAACTACCATTTACCACGGAATAGGACCAGGCTCTTAGAGAAAGGCTGATTCCAGAGCTCGGCCAGGGGAAGAACGGGGCGTGTCTGGCACACCTTGCTGTGCCAAGAGGTCACGTGCTCAAGGGACAATGAGGACATATCAAAGGGTCACAGAGAGGGGCTGCCACCTGCCGAGTCTACGATTGAGCATTGAAACAAGTAATGGGTTTTACCCACAGAAGCTCTTAAGGATCCATGGGTCCGTGCTGACAGAAATGAATGAGACCAGGGAACGTTCTTTCTTACAGTAGAAAGTGAACTAAAAAATGGAGACTGAGTAACAGTTGCAAACTCACCACTGAGCGACCACCACAATGAAAACTGTTTCCAGCAAAAATCGAAAGGGTACTAAACTGGTGGGTGCACGTCTGGTGGGCACAGGACATCTCACTGTCACCTACGTGACACTTAGTAACCACCAAGCAAGAAACAAGCAGTTTTACACAAACACCCACCTGAAGCCAGAGATCAAAGTTAGAACACGGCTGAAAATAAAACATCCCTTTTGTGGTGGTTTCTTTTGGCCAGAAATGCATAAACTAAATCTAATCAAAGGGGAACACCAGGTGGACCCAAAATGAGGGACCTTCCCTAAAATCAATGGCCTGTACCCTTTAAAGTGTCCAGGTCCCGAAAGGTAAGAGGGGCTGAAGGACTGCTCCAGATGAAAGGACACGGGCGGGACACAGCAGCTGGACCGGGAAAAAAATTGTTTTCTTTTGCTAACAGGACGGTAGTCAAAGAAATGCAGAAATCTGAAGGTCTAAGGACTGAGTGACAGTGCTACTGATTAAGTCTACTTGCTTATGTAAGAGAATGCACTGTTTTTAGGAAATACATAAGTATTTAGAGGTTGTGGATCCTACGCCTGTGACTTTCAAAGAATTCAGGAAAAAAAAGACAGATATGTGTGTAATGATAAACACAATAAAACGTGGATATTTGAGGGACCTGACTCGAAGGTTCACACGAATTCTTTGGACTATCTGCGCAACTGTCCAGGAGCTCTGGAATTATTTCCAAATAAAAAGCCTTTGAAACATGCCGCTCGATGCAGGGGTGAGGCCCCTCCCAGCCTGTCCCCGGGCAGGCGCCCACCTCGCCCTGCGTGAGGAAGTTGGCCATCAGCGCCCCCTTCACGGCGTTCTCCAGGTCGCAGTCTGCGAAGATGATGAGGGGAGACTTGCCTCCAAGTTCCAAGGTGACAGGTTTGACTCCTCTTGCCGACATCTCCATGATCTTACAAAACAAGAACACACTCAGAGGTTGAGCACAAAGGAGATCGTGCCGGGTGGACTAGACCGCAGACCTCCAAAGGCACCGCGGACGCTGCTCTCGGTAAACGCTGGGCTCTGTCCACTTAAACGCCCTTCTCTGGAACACCGAGGACGAGCCACGGAAACGCACTCGGCATTCTGAAGGGGGAATTCACTTACAAATACTGTCCACTCGCCGACTGCCCAGGACACTCCCTCTAAGACTACTGATCCTTGTTCAACGCTGACAGAGCTCAGGGCACAGTCGAGTCAAAACAGTGAACATGAAGTAAACTAAGAAACACCCCTCCTCTCGAGGTGGCTGCTGCGGACGAGCGAAGTCATCAAACCCCACGCGTGGCAGCCCGAGCCCACCCAAGACCAGGAGCTGATGGCTTCCACCCTGCCGAGTGCACTCCCCTCCCCCTTCACACGTCTGAGTCCCCTTCAGACCCACGGGGGTAATACCCACGGCCTCCCTCCCGCCTGAGCAGGGTAGGTCGGAGGTGAGGTGAGGCCTCCAACGCGGGCTCTGGGCGGGCCGGACACCCACAGCTCGATGCCGTTGCATTAACCCGGACTGTGCCATCTCACCTTCGAGCCAGTGGGCACACTCCCGGTGAAGGAGATCTTGGCCACATCGGGGTGCTGACACAGAAGCTGGCCTGTGGCGGCCCCTCCTTGCACCACGTTGAAGAGGCCGGGAGGCGCCCCAGCCTCCGTGTAGATCTCAGCCAGCAGCAGCACGGACACGGGCGTGAAGGGGGACGGCTTGAAGACCATGGCGTTTCCTGCAGAAGCCCCACACACACTCAGGACTTGGTGGGTGATCCCCGCAGGACAGGACTGGGGGACAAGCCAAGAACGTCTCCAACTGGTCCTTGTCCCATCAAGTCCTTATCAATAAGCAAATGTATCTCGCCTGGCTGGCGTGGCTCAGCAGCTGAGCGTCGCCCTATGAACCAGGAGGTCAGGGTTCGATTCGCGGTCAGGGCCCAGGCCCAGGGTGCGGGCTTGATCCCCAGTCGGGGGAATGCAGGGGGCAGGCAATCAATGACTCTCTCATCACTGGTGCTTCTCTCTCCCCCTCTCCCTTCCTCTCTGAAATCAATAAAAACATATATTTTTAAAAAGTCTCTCGTGCCCGGCTGGGCGTGGCTCAGTGGTCGAGCATCAGCCTAGGATCCAGGAGATCGTGGTTCGATTCCCGGTCAGGGCATGTGCCCGGGTTGCAGGCTCGTAGCCGATCAATGACGACTCTCTCATCACTGACATTTCAACTCTCTCTCCCCCTCTCCCTTCCTCTCGCTCTAAAAATCAATTTTTTGAAAAAATTACATATATATAGTAGTACGAGAAAACTCCTGAAGTCCGTCAGCCAGTTTCTGTGATGGGAGCCTTGGATGTCGCTTCTCTTAACACAAACAGAGGAGGAAGTTTAGCTTCTGCTCCTTAACCATGTGAGATTCCCAAGTGCTCCCCTTCACAGAAATTCACGTCCAGAAAGGAAGAGACTTACAGGGAGCACAAATCTAATCCAATCTGACAGTAAAAAACAAAACCTCCAAGATCAAAGCTTTCTTCCTTCCCCAAACCAGTAATATATGAGATAAATACAAATAGTTTTAATACAGACACGATCTGTGTGCATCACCTACACTACAAACCCTAAGGGGCCGTGCAGGAATGGACATGTGTCCTCTGAGACTGTGCCCAGCACGGCCCCTTCTGATGTGAAGACTGTGTCTGTGAATGGGGGTAATGGAGTGTGTGCGTCAGTGTGTATCAGTGAGTGTGTGTGTGTCTGAGTGTGCATGTGAGTGTGAGTGTATGCGTGTGAATGTGTGCATGAGTGTACTTATGTGTGTGTGTGCAAATGTGCCTGATTGTGTGACTGTATGACTGTGAATAAGTGTGTGTATCTGTGTATGAGTGTCAGAATGTGTGAGTGTGTGTGACTGTGAGCATGAGTGTGAGTGAGTGTGCACAGGTGAGGGGAGAGACAGGAGGAGCCGCTCTTTCTCACCACACGCTAAAGCAGGGGCCGACTTCCAGGAGGCGATCTGAAAGGGGTAGTTCCAGGCGCCGATCCCCACGCACACACCCAGCGGCTCCCGTCTGGTGTAACCGAAGGAGCCCCCTGGGAGCGGGATATGCTCGCCTGCGGGGCAAACAGGAGCAGAGGCGTCAGCTCTCCCCAAGGCCTCACCACACCCGCTCCACCCGCTCCAGCCGCTCCGCCCGGCCGCTCCGGCAGCCCTACTCCGCTCCCGCACATCCCCTCCACGGAAGAGCCGGCTGTCCCTCTCACCCACGGTCACCCAACTTCCCGTCATCCTCGAAAGCTTACTGCGCATCCAGGAGATAACACAGACGACGTAAAACAGGGGAGACCCAGGCCTGTTAGCCCCGAAACCTGGCCCTTCAGGAGCTGACGGAGCGAGGCCCGGGCTTACCGGCCATGGACCCAGCCAAGCCCGCGTAGTACTCCAGGCACTGCCAGGAGGTGTCGATGTCCAGGCGGGCCTCGAAGATGGACTTGCCGTTGTTGATGGTCTCCACAGCGGCGATTTCATCCTTCCGTTCCTGTGCGCAACACCGAGGCCAGCTTTAGGCAGGCCACCTTACCCACGAGGCCAGCTTTAGGCAGGCCACCTTACCCACCAAGGCCAGCTTTAGGCAGGCCACCTTACACACGAGGCCAGCTGTAGGCAGGCCACCTTACACACCGAGGCCAGCTTTAGGCAGGCCACCTTACACACGAGGCCAGCTTTAGGCAGAGCACCTTACACACCGAGACTAGCTTTAAAGCAGGCCACCTTACACACCGAGGCCAGCTTTAGGCAGGCCACCTTACACACGAGGCCAGCTGTAGGCAGGCCACCTTACACACCGAGGCCAGCTTTAGGCAGGCCACCTTACACACGAGGCCAGCTTTAGGCAGAGCACCTTACACACCGAGACTAGCTTTAAAGCAGGCCACCTTACACACCGAGGCCAGCTTTAGGCAGGCCACCTTACACACGAGGCCAGCTGTAGGCAGGCCACCTTACACACGAGGCCAGCTTTAGGCAGGCCACCTTACACACCGAGGCCAGCTTTAGGCAGAGCACCTTACACACCAAGGCCAGCTTTAGGCAGAGCACCTTACACACCGAGACTAGCTTTAAAGCAGGCCACCTTACACACCGAGGCCAGCTTTAGGCAGGCCACCTTACACACGAGGCCAGCTGTAGGCAGGCCACCTTACACACGAGGCCAGCTTTAGGCAGGCCACCTTACACACCGAGGCCAGCTTTAGGCAGAGCACCTTACACACCGAGACTAGCTTTAAAGCAGGCCACCTTACACACCGAGGCCAGCTTTAGGCAGGCCACCTTACACACCGAGACTAGTTTTAAGGCAGACCACCTTACACAACGAGGCTAGCTTTAAGGCAGACCACCTTACACACCGCAACAGAGGTAACACTCGGACAGAATACAAGGCCCAGTTGTTAAAAGTAGAAACAGCTTTTATTTCAACAAAAATAAAAGGAATGGCAGTGTTACACTGGGAAGAGAAATAAAAGCTTATTGCTGAACAGCAGCCCTGCTCTCTTGTTAACTGTCCCGGATTTAAGACCAATATTTCATTTCAAGATCAGTTAGAAAAGGAATGCTTTGAGAAGTGAATATTATACATGTATATAAGTAGGAATACATACAAATGTGTTCACATGCATACAGCAGGAGAGAACAGTCCTTAGGGAAGTTATGCAAAGTAGCCAACAACATCATTGACAGTGAACAGGTTACATGCACACACGGCTTTAATTCGCCAAAAGAAATGCAGTTATCTTCTAATGCTCACAGCTCACTAATACCCTTTTCAAATACTGTTTCTAGTTGTAACCTGCAACTCAAAGACACTGGAGATGGCTCAGGGATGAACTGAAAAGTTTAGGAAATTACACCTAAAAAAATCTAAATAATGCCTTTCCCCCGAAAGAAGATGAAAGGATCAAATATGTAAGAGAAAGATATTTGCTATTATGGATCCAATTTAAAATAAACAGTGGGGTCAATATCTGTACATGAAAAATGAATGAAACCAATGGAAAGAAGAAGCATGGTCTTAACAAAGCGGTAACGAGAGCCTGGCATGGTTGCTTTAAGACTGTAAAAAACTTTAACTTTGTTTTTTAAGAGGGAACATGTATAAATCTATGAAATCTTCCCAGGCAATTAAGATAAAAATAAATTTGAAAAAGGAAGAACTTAAGAGTCATCAGAGGGAAAGCTAAAAAGAGACAAGTACACATGGCTAAAAAGAAAAGGAGAGCCTTGGCCAAGTGGCTCAGGGGGTTAGAGCGCTGTCCCCACAGCCAAGGTTGTAGGTTTGATCCCCAGTCAGGGCACTTATAAGATTCAACCAATGATGCCCCAACAAGTGGAGCAACCAATTGCTGGTTCTCTCCCCCTCTCTCCCCCTCTCAAAAAAAGAAGGCCCTGGCCAGTTTGGCTCAGTAGCTAGAGCATCGGCCCACAGACTGAAGGGCCTCAGGTTCAATTCCAGCCAAGGGCACGTACCTCGGCTGCAGACTCGATCTCCGGCCCCAGTCAGGGTGAATGCGGGAGGCAACCCATCAATGTGTCTCACATCGTTTCTCTCTCTCCCCCTTCTACTCTCTCTGAAAAGCAGTGGAAAAAAATATCCTCCAGTGAGGATTTTAAAAAAGAAGAAAGAAAGAAAAAGGAAAGAGATAACCTGCCAAGCACATGTTGTAACAAAGATGGAAAAGAAAACCCACCAGGGGGGACAGCACAGAGACAAGATCCTGACAGGGACTCCCTCACGAAAGCTTGTTGTATGACCCAGGTGAGCAGAGAGAAATACTTTCCAATTTCATAAACAAGTTATAACCTAACCATGCATCAATGTCAAACTACCAACCATCCCCAAGAACCCTCTGGGCAAGGCAAGACAACTTTCCCCGGAGGGAATAAATTGAAGCATACCCTTATGATCCTGGCGGCCTCCAAAAGGATTCGGCCACGCTCCAGGCCAGATTTTTTGCTCCATATTTTGAAGGCAGCCTTTGCATCTTGAACGGCCAAATTGACCTCGTTTTCTCCTGAGCATGTGAAAGTAGCAATCACACGGCCTAGAAAACAAGGCGAGTGAGTTATCTCACCAGATAGCACACATTTAAATAAAGCATTATGTATTCAGATTTCCTCTTAGGATCCCCTTCTTGTCTTTTTTTCTTTTTAAACAGCTAACAGTTTACCTTTATTGATTTCAGAGAGAGGAAGGGAGAGGGGGAGAGACAGAAATATCAATGATGAGAGTCACTGATCAGCTGCCTCCTGCATGCCCCCAACCAGGGGATCGAGCCCACAACCCGGGCCTGTGCCCTGACTAGGAATTGAACCTCAATCTACTGGATCCTAGGTCAATGTTCATCTGCTGAGCCACGCCCGGCGCCTTCTCATCTTTAAGTACAGTTTGACTAGTGACCATCCCTACACTACCATCCCTACACTAGCAGTTAACTCTATTTTGGGGTCATTGACCCCTTAAGAATCTAATAAAAGCTGCAGAGTTCTCTGCAGAGAAACATAATTGTATCACATAATTAGCAACACCATGTCCCTTGCCCCAAGCACACCCTGACCTTGAGCACGCCCTGAACTTTCAGTTAAGAACCCCTGCCCACCTCTATTTCACAAGCGGGCCTACTAACACCAACTTCCTAGCAATTACCTTGCGACACTCCTTAACAATGTTTGAGAAGCTGCGGGATCCTGCAGACTCAGCGTGGAAAGTACCAAGTCTCCTGGGTGATGAACTGACTTTAAATCCCGGGTCTATGTTCTACACAAGTGGCCTCGCAGTGCTAACAACTGAGAGTACGGTTAACCAGCAGCCCCGTCGGGAAGTGATCCCTAAACGCGGGGTATGAAAAAACCTAGTCCCTCCTCTCCAATCCTACTCCCCAGCCCTGTTCTGGGGCAAGAAGCCACCTTCCTGGGCGCGGGTCCCCGCGGAGGCCTCCAGGGACAATGCTCTCTCCAGGGCTTCACGAACCCGCCACCTCTGTTCCCACCGCGAGCGGCCAGTTAAAGGCGGCGGCCGCGGGCGACACGCGTCGCGGGCGTCGGGCCGCCTGGGGCCCAGCGGGCGCTCGC